TCTTGTTGATCTATGTTCTTCATCATTATCAAAGATGGCACGTTTCATGGCTGCATTGGCATTGGCTTACATGTTTGATGGGAGGTAACTAGGCTGATTAAAACTTGTATCTTGTCACTGTAACCTTCTCCATCTTATGTTTTGTTGGAAACCTAAGTAGTTACTGATCCCATTTAGCTTAATGGGGGTTTATTATTATTATTTGATGGTTATTATCTGGTATTTATCGTTATTTTTATCTTTTATCTTGATTAGTTTAAATTAGATTAACCTAGATTTTCCCTATCTTGGTTGAACATAGCCAGGAAGAATATATATCACTCTCTCCTTCATTCAGTAAACTAAGCACTATCATCCCCTTTCTGCTTATTTTTGAGAATGCCTAATACTCTTTTTTGTGCATGCTATTGTTGGCCTTTATTGATGTTTTAATGGGTTTGATTAAACAAGTGCAGAATTTTTGTAATTAGTAGAAATTTCATCTGTGTGAGATGCTTCACTATTATGCTTTTTTTCCCCTCTCTATTTGCTTTTTCCTTGTGAAGTCACATTATATAGGAATAACAAAAGTAGATATATGAGGTCCTCATTGCAGAATTACTACAATGTACAAATTTGATGGGCACTGTCTTGAATTTACATAAACAAAGCATACAAGACCCTGGTTGTTTCATATGGTTCTAAATCTTACCGGGGCTTAATAGCGGTGAAAACTCAATTTTATTCTTTGGTACTTTTGAAACTGGCAATATTATTTCTATTCTCCGGAGCTCAATATTGATTAGTAAGATTATTTTTAATGGTAGGTATGTCTATTAAAAAAAAAAAAAATTGACAATATCCTAATTATATTGCCCACCATTTTAAGAAAGTTTTCATCCATTTCAAATTAAACCTTATGATGCGTTGTGCAGAATGGATGAATTTGCTTTGGTAGGAACCTCGTCAGAAGGCATCTCCAAGAGTGTGAGCTTGGATGGAGCTAGAAGGATGGCTTTGAAACACATTGAAGCTTTCATCCTTATGTTTTCTGATCCTCAAGCATTTGCTGCTGCTGCTACATCATCTGCCCCTGCCGCATTGGCTCAAGTTTCTGAAGGCGCACGAATCCAAGAAGCAGGACATCTTAGATGCAGGTATCTTTCTCACTTTTAGTTGCTAGGAAAAAAATTCTTCTTTTTTTTAGTATTGCAAAAATAAAATTGAATAGGTCCAACTTTTAAGTCTATGTATGCATACTTGTAAAACACCACCTGATAAATGCATGTTTCTATTGAACTGTTTCTGGGATTTATCATTAGTTGTTAATGGGCTATTTTATCCATTGTCTCTTAGTGGTTCTGAAATTGGAAGATTTGTTGCTATGCTACGAAATCCATCATCTATTCTAAAAGCTTGTGCTGCATTTGCTCTTCTACAGGTAACTGTACTATCTTCCCTTTTTTTTTTAATCTGCATTTCAAATTATCATCTTGGCTTAGTATTTTGTATTTTAGAGGATAAAACAAACATTTCACAAAAATGAGGTTATTACCATGCTAACCAGTCAAACATTGGAATAAGGCAAACATTTTTCTTTTTGGATGTTGATAGTGTCCTTTTCACTGTTGAAGTTATGTCAGTGTTGCTGCTTCTTATATTTGAACAAGCATTCTGTTTCTTGCGTTGATCTTTCAAATGCAGTTTACAATTCCTGGTGGACGACATGCCATGCACCATGCCAGCCTCATGCAGAACGCATGTGCAGCAAGAGTTCTTCGTGGGGCAGCTGCCTCGGCAACTGCGCCATTGGAAGCAAAGATATTTGCCAGAATTGTTCTCCGCAACCTTGAGTATCATCAGACAGATCTCCAAACCATCTAGAATAATTCCAACCTCTGGTAGCATTCCCATGTCTGAAATTATGCTAGAGTTTGTGATGCTTCATTTGTAGACATAACTGCTCCATGTTTTGTAAGAACATTTCTCCTTGATGTAAATGAAGGAAATTGATAGAGATTCTTCAGCTTTCTTTCTTATCCTGCCTCAACTGGTTATCCGATAGTTTCTTAACTTTGAGATGTATTTCTTTCTTCTTTTTCTTGTATCAATCTTTTCAAATCAAGGCTGCAGAAGATAGGAAAATTTATATCAAAACTATTGGCCTTGATGCTTTTCCCTTGTAATATTCTGTATAATTATAAACTTAGGCTATTTTTACGACTTTTGTTGAAGGTTGGGATGAGTTCATTACTCGTTTGAGCAAAATAAGGCATTTGGTTCTATATGTTTTTAATTTTTCGCATGTGTTTTTACCAAATCTGGAGTCATGACATTCTTTTTGTTTGTTCATCTGCATTTTCACAAAATATGTATAACAGAGTACAAACATAAGATATAGACCTAAATAACTCTAAAAGCACAAGACAGGCTACTCCTCCTCCTCTAATACCTATGACAGTGTTAATATTTCCCAAGAGTATGTTAAGAAACCCCTTATCTTCAGCTTGTATATGCATTGAGTATGAGAAAGCTGGAGAGACAACCTTGGAGCACCCATTTACAGCAACCTATTCGGGTCACCATAATGAAAGATTTGAAATCCTCCCCCTTGAGGGAAACAGGAATATTTATTTGTCTCCTGTGGATGCTCCTAGAAGTCTTGAAACTTTGTGATGTTTATGAGCCACTCAACTTGAGATTGAGCAATGATTTTTTTAAAATTATTTTAGATCACTCTAGAGTTCAATTTACCAGTACATACAAGCCAGTCTGAATTTTGTAACAAATATTTCATAAGGAAAAAAATATTTAAGAAAATGTCAACTTTTATCCAATAAACTAAGGAAAATTGCGAATTTCTTCTTCTGTAAAAAAAAAAAAGTGTTCAAATTCAACTTTAAACGAAAAAAAAATTAGAACTTGAGTAAAATATGAGGAAATCATCAATTAATATGTACTCCCAAAAGTTTTTTATATGGATGTACTAGTATAATTTTATTCTTTATTTATTATTGTGTTAATTTTGTTTATATAAAGTATAATATATACTAAATAGGGATAAAGTTGAAAAGTTATTGAATTTTAAATGAGAGTTAATGAAGTTTAAAGTTTTTATTGATTTGTGTGAAACACGTTATAAGTGACTCATAAATAGGATTAGAGAAGTATCTCTATTGCACTTTCACACTTGATCTTTAGTCAAAAGGCTGAGAAAGGTATTAGAAACATTATTAATATTTGACAAGCAAAAAATTCGGACTGTATAATTTTTAGATATGTTTGTAGTACAATTATAGTGATTATATTAATTTTTTTAAATAAAGTAAAAACTTCCGCAACGCTTATATTTTATTAGTCATTAACTTAAAATGAAAGAAAATTAGAATCTATAATTTAAAAATTAAATTGGTAAGTTGATAATTTTCTTGCTGAATTTAGAAAATGTTGTTGAATTATTTTTTAAGCAGTAATCCCCTAAAATACACATTTGAACAATGTGGCCTTTGGTTTTATCAATACACGGGAAAACTAAGGGCCATTTTAAGTCTGGGACAACATGATTCTACTTGTCTCTAACGTCCTGTTTGATTAGCATTTAAAATCATTATAAGTACGTTTTACGTAAATTGAGATAAAATTCTTCTCACATACTTACTTTATATTTTGTAAATCATAATTAAAAAGCTGCTTATAAATCATTTTAGGTCCTAGATGAATTGGCTTTTTTTCTTTAAGTACTTTACAACATGATATCTAAAGTAAAATTTCTCTTCTATTTTTTTTTTAGGAATTTGTTATTTTCTTTGTATGGTCCGCCTCTTTGTTGTGTTTCTTATTTTAACTCATCTTTTTATTATAAATTATTTTGTCTTTTTATTAAAAAGAAAAGACCACTTGGTTTGGCAATGGGCTCATCATAAATCAACTGAAAATGCCAAGGAACAAAAAACCGACCGGATACTAAACCGTTAAAACCTGGTTTAAGGGTAGTGGGTTAGATCGGGGTCAGACCGTAATCAAACCGTTGATAATTAAAATAATATAATTTAGTTAAAATTGATAAAAATATTCATATTCTCATTAATAAAAAATAAATTAATTTTAAATGGGAATCATTTACAAAATATTTTGTATATTTTCATTTTTTTTCTTTGTTCTTTCGTGTGACCGAATGGGATCTTCCCTTTTCCTTTTTTCTTTTTTTTTAATTTGTATCATTCTTTTCTCTTCCTCTTTCCCCTCTCTCCCACGTGCACTTCTTTTGACATTTTCTTCCCTATATCGCGCATCACGGAGCAGTCTCTCCGTCTTCTTTTTGCCTTGACAGTGAGCAAGCAGTAGAATGGCTATAGCTGTGAGTCTTGCTCATTGAGCACGCATCATTTGCCCTTCCTCTCAATTGCTTCTGCCTTCTTCACTTCTCTTTCACTTCTCTTTCTTTCTCAAGCGGAGAAACAGCAAACTCAAACACCATTTTTTCTCTGTACGCTTCATCCATTCGTCCTACTCTCTGTATTATATTTTTGCTTATCATCCGGTTTTCTATGGGTATGCTTCAAATGGCGCAAACAAGTTCTATCTTCTTCCATCTTCATGATGCTTTATGTCTACCTTTGTCTCTGCAGTATTCATTGTGCAACGGTGAGGCGTCCGGCGAAAGGTGAGAGCAAGAAAGAAGGGAGAAGAAAACAACCGGCCAGCCCAGTAAAACCAGCGATTCCCGGTTTTTACCGGTTTTTTCCGGTTCGTTCCGAGTCATTCCGGGTTGATGATTTTTAAGTTAAACCAGACCGGATTTCAGACCGTTCACCGGTTTTCTGGTTGAACCGGCCGGTCCGGTCCGGTTTTTTCTCCTTGAAAATGCTAACGAATGTGTGGGCGCGTGCAGGCACCATGTTTTATTAAAAAAAAAGAAAGAAAACGGAATAAATGAGAATGTAGGTTTGTCAATTCCCGCCATGGCTCAGCTGCAGATAAAAAGAAGGAAACGAAAAAGAAATTCCCGCCACGATAAAGGAGAAATTCTCCATAGCTTGTGTTATTAGGGAAGAAGGGGAAAGGCAACTTCGCCACTGTGATATATTGCCATACTTTAGTTTCTTGCAGAATTATTAGTGGAGACTAAAAAGATCAGAGAAGAAGACAGCGGGAAGCAATAGAGACGAAAACTCATAACGGAGAAGATTGGGAAGACAAAGCAAACAATTGGAAGTTTCTTAAAGGTAATCCTGTTCGTTTTACTGAAAACCTTCTGAGCAATCTGTTAATGATGCAAAGGCAAAATTGATTTCGTAGAAAGTGCGCCCGGAAGAGTCGAACCCTTTTGGATTCAAAAAAGATGGCTGGACAATCTGATCCTCACTTCTCTCTGTTTTCAGCTGAAGAGGTATCTTTACTTGAATGGTTAAAGAATTTCATCATACTTTTGTTTGCTGACAATAATTTATGGGTGTGATTTTGTTGCCAAGCTTGAATTTGTAGCTGAGGATGACATGGTTGAGATTGTACCCAATCTCAAAATGGATGCTCTCAACCTGATAAGTGTAAGTAATCAGTTGTAGCTTATACTCTTCCAACTCTCTGCGGAGGAGAAAATACGGTTGCTTTTTATATCAACTTCATTTCGGTGAAAATGGCAGGGAGATTTTGGTCCATTTGCCCCACAAATAGCTACTCAAGTGCCGTTGTGGTTGGCTGTGGCTTTGAAGAGGAGAGGAAAATGCTCTATTCGCCCTCCTGAATGGATGTCAGTTGGTGAGCTGCATTTATTTTTTGTCTATTAATTATCCTTGATCATTTTAATGACGATATTTCATTCTTTATTCTTGTTAAGGATGAATTTATAAATTTATTTCTTGCTATTTTTTTGGTCAAAATTCATTGCTTGCTATTTAATGAGAAGGAAAGACGGCAAAGAGGGGAAGAGAGTGAAGAGGTCTACGAGTAAGATTTTCTTAAGTTCTATATATGTCCACCATTGAAGGCCTGATGTCACAATCACGTTAAGAAAAATATAAACTGTCTCCAGAAAGAACAAATTCTATTCTCATGGATCTTGGTATTTCGAAATTCTAATGCCTTTATCCCAATTGAATGTTATGGATATTTTACCTTGCCTCTGATTTCTTTTCTTTCTTTTTTTTTTTTAATATTTCTCCTTCTTTGTTATTTATGTTCCCAAAATTTTCGTGCCATAGCCTTGCGCGGCATTGAAATTTTTTTTTTTTTTTTGGAGTCAGACAAATATGAATTAGTGTTAAAACTGATCTGGTAATTTCTTACCAGACTAACAAAAGAAAATTCTCAGTATTTATTGTGGATAATATGCAATGTTTCGAGTACTCTTTTTGCAAAAAAAAAAAATGATGGACAATAAATTCTTCTAAATTATCTAATTTTTGAAAATAAGGCGTTATATTGCAAAGTTGATAGTGGTTCTATGAAATATAGAACGGGTACATAATTTTGAGGGTCTAAGTATGCCAGTGAAGCATTCTTATGCAGAATAGAATTGTACCGGTATTTTTTGCTCTGTTAAATAAAGAATATTTTACTTTCGAATATGCATGCATGACGTATGGTCTATAATTGGAGTTGAATCATGAGCTGTACCTGAACGCACTATAGGTCTATTTATCCCACCTTGCATTACTATGTTTTCTTGAATTCAAGTGTCTTCAAGTTCGGGTTCACGTTTTCCAGTACCTTCTTCACCCGCTTGCCTGTGAATCAAGTGTTGGCCTCTAGTTGGTGACCATGTGTTTCTAGAAGAGTTTTTTTCTTTCTCATAGTCCCTTATGTGACTTCCTAATGCGACTTTTGGATTGTCTTGGTTGGTTCTGGTTGGCTCTTGCTGTGACTGCTCTAGTGTGACCGCTGTGTTAATTTTGTATGCCTATTTGTGACTGTTTTTTGTCTCATGTGCCAAATGCACTTTTACCTGGTGCTGTTAATCACTATTCTTGAAGTTAAGATGGTGGATAACAGAGCAATAGTGATAACTGATGCTGTTCCTGCGGCAACTAAAATCACTGATCATAAACCAAATTGAACAAAGTATTTGGGTTGGAGTAAGATGGTTCCTAAACGGAGCCCCCTAAAGATGATTCTCTTGAAGATTGGTTAAGGGATGATGCATGACTGCTTTTGCAGATCTGTAATTCTAGTGAATGTGAGGTCATTGGTTCAATCAATCATTGTGAATTTGAATTAATGGACTATCTAGAGTTATTGTACTCAAGGAAGGGCGATATCTCTCTCATTTTTAAAGTCTGTAAAGCTTTTCTTAGAGCAGGTAAGCTGAATTGGACTCTTAAGTCCTATTTTATTGACTGTAAGAGGACTTATGAACAATTGAATATGTTTTTTTCCTTTTACTACTGATTTGAAAGTACAACAAGCTCAACGGGAACAGATGGCTATCATGAGTTTTCTTATTGGTCTCCCATCCGAATATGAAATAGGGAGGTCTCAAATCCTATCTGGAATTGTGCTCTCTAATATTCAGGAAACATTTTCTAGAGTGCTACGGGCTGAGACTCTCCAGCCAAAGCAATTTATTGACCACAACTGTGGACTAGTCAATCTTGGTCCACCAAATTATGGTGGTTCTAAGCCAGGTGGAGCTAATAAACGTGTTGTGTCCCCCTTTTGAGTTAGTTCATTTTGGTTTGTGGTCTCTATCCTATGGAGTCTAAGTCTATTTTCAAGTACCTTGTTACCCTTTTTTTTTTTTTAATGATTATTACTCTGGTGTCACTTGGTTACATTTAATGGAAAATTGTTCTAAGTTATTTGCCCACTTTTGTGCCTTCTATGTTGAGATTAAAACTCAATTTAATGTTTCAGTATGAACATTATGCAGTGACAATGCTAAACAATATCTTTCAGACTTATTTCAGTCATATATTCCTCAGAATGGTATTCTTCGTCAGTCCTTTTGTGTTGATACATGGGCCCAAAATGGTGTGGATGAGTGTAAGAGTAGGTTCTTACTTGAAGTGGCAAATGAAGGTTCCAAAACCTTTCTAGGTGTATGCGGTTTCTACTGCATGCTTCCTGATCCACTGAATGCCCTCCTCCGTACTAAATGATAGCATGCCTTATACTACCCTTTTTCCTTCTCAGCCTTTGTTTCCTATGGAGCCAAAAATCTTTGGTTGCACTTGCTTTGTTTGGGATGTTCAGCATCAAGTTACTAAATTGGATATAAAGTCTTTTTAAATGTGTACTTCTTGGGTACTCTCGCCTCCAAAAGGAGTATTGGTGTTTTGCTTCCACAGTTAATTGATATTTAGTGTCTACAGATATTGCATTTCATGAGTGCACTCCTTCTATTCTCCACCAGCTTCCCAACTCGAGATGGAAGATGATCTGTTAATCTATACTGTCTCTCACCCTGCAAACTCTGTTGAATCCCCATCAGCTCAAGCATCTGATTGACCCCTTGTTGCTCGTGTTTGTTCTAGCCATCATAAGGAGAATATTGTTCCCGATCCAAACTCATGCCTTTCACCATCTGCTTTGTCATCAAATCAAAGTTTTTGCAATCTAACTTGCTTGAGTCTGATCCTGATCTGCCTGATATCCTAGTCTTGATTTACATATATCCGTTGTCTCTTATGACCATTTGTCTCCTCTTTCTAGTTCCCTCATTGGATCTCTAGATACTGTTTCTATTCCTAAAACTATCCATGAAGCATTATCTCACTTGGGTTGACGTGTTGCAATGGAGGAAGAGAAGTTGGCTCCTGATGACAATGGTAATGGACTAGTAGATGCAAGTGGGTGTTCCCTGTCAGAATGAAGCTTGATGGCATACTTGCCCAAAGCAAAACTTGCCTTATTGCTAAAGGATATGCTCAAATTTATGGTGTGGATTCTCTCACCTGTGGCAAAAATTTTCTCGGTCAAACTCTTCATGAATGCACCATGCATATATAGATTGATTGTCACTTTGTTTGTGATAAGATTCGAGACAACTTTATCCCATTAGAACAGCTCAGAACAGGAGATTAATTGGGTGACATTTTTACAAAAGCTTAGTTGGGCTCGGATTGGATATATTTGTAACAAGTTGGGTCTGATTAACATCATTGCTCCAACATGAGAGGGAGTGTTAGTTAGTAAATGTATTGCAAGCTATGTTATAGGCTATATTGTAGAGTCTGCTAGAAGCAAATAAATATGTTAGGTTATACAGGATAGGCTATGTTGATGGGCAACCAATGAGCCAGAATTACCTAGCTCATCTTCTGTGTCTCATATGAAATAAATTAAATATTTTGGCTCACCGATCTACAATCTGAAAAGGGCTTTTTATTACAAAAAAGTTTATGATCTATCAGCATGTGGAAATTTTTTGTTAATATCATTCTTACATTGTTGTTGCGAACTGACAAGATAAAAGAAATTTTGATGTTTCCACACTATTGTTTGTGAATAGATAATTTAACTCAAGTTCTGGAGGCTGAGCGAGAATCTCAGGAAATGTCTGAAAAATTACCATTTCATTATGTAGAAATCTCAAGACTTCTCTTTGATCAGTAAGTTTAGTGACATTAACTTGTTCTGTTTGTTACTTTTATGTGACTAATTAATATCTTTGTGGATTTTAGTGCACGCGATGACATTCCTGATGTATATATGGTTAGTTTAAGAATCTTTCACCTTCTGCAACTGTGTTAAACGTTTCTTCTTGGTCTTTGACTCCTATCTAATTTGAAAAGGTGAGATCTCTAATTGAGGACATACGAGATGTAAGATTTCATAAAGTAAGGACCGACTTAGAGGCATTCAATGGTCGTACAATTGCTGTCAAGGTAATTTCTTTTAATATATCTGAATGGCGTCATTCTGAATGTTTTCATGTTAAACTTCATAACCAATTACAGGGATACTCTGTCAATCGAGTTATCCAAGGAAGCTGCTCCTTACTGATTATGAGAACACAAATATGAAAGATGAAGAAAAGATTTGGACCAAAAAAAAAAAAAAATCATGTTTGTAATATGTCCCGTATTTCAATATCTAGTTCAGAGTGAAGGATAGACTGTTTTGTTTCATGCCTTTTACAGAATGTAAAGGTTCAAATGAAAGCACCCATTGAGACTTTCTTTTTTCAAAAAAAAAAGAAAAGGAAAAAAAAAAAAAATTGAAACCACCTGTTTAGACTTTCGTTTTCCAAACAAGGAAAAAAAAAATCATCTGCTATCAAGCATTGCTGATTAATTCAGATTTAATTGTGGGTAGACCCCAATTAGAAGGTTCTCTTGACAATATTTTTTTCCACAAGATTCAACTCAAGATTTTGGCTTATTATGACTTTTCCCCCTCCAAGATGCTATACAGCAAATATCTTCTACTCAGCCATACAATTTGATGCTATAGGGTGGGTGTTTGGCATTTTGTTATCGTTTTTCTTGACCTATAACAATAGCATTGGGATTAGATCCTCTTGGAAAATTGTATGTCGTTTTAAGAATGCTTGGTGTGAGAGGGAGAGAGGTATGGGCACTTCACAAACAAGGGCCCTATGTTATCATTAATTTTCATTTTATGTTTATGCTCAAGCATGCCTGTGGCTTTTGGGGTATTGCAGATTAAGAATTTGTCGGCAATGGAGGTGAATATTGTTCGCCCATTTATTAGAAGAGCTTTGCAGGCATTCTGTAAGCATGATAGTCCAGAGTTGATACCAGAACCAGAGAGAGTGGCTGACAAACGCCCACAATTAGTCAACAATGCTCCGAGAGTATGTTTTCACTTCTGCTACATGCTTAGAATCATTTCTTTGTCTTGATCATATTATTTTGCATATTCTTGAAAGGAGATAATATTTCTCTGAAGCTATAGATTTCCATTTGTCATTCGACCATCTTTTACGGAAGATCAAAATAAGTAATTAGATCTTATTGTTGTAAAAAGATATTCCAGTCTATCATGATCATTCTTTTCATCTAACAAACGGTTATTAAATTTATCCTTTTTTGGAAAAATATTACAGAGGCAACTACGACGATGACAATCTACATCTCATCAAATATCATAACCTATGGTATGTGGCTGGCTTTGAGGTGCTTATATCTGAAGGTGTCTTTACAGTGACATTTACCACTGTTCATCATGTATTGGTACCTTGAGCTGACTCTTAATAGATTATCTCTAAAATTCTCATTATTGTTAAGAATCAAAACATACTTTCTTGACAACTAACACTTATGTATGCTCCTTCTGTTATGTAGTCATACTTCGTATGCTCATCATTGGTAATACAAAATGAGCTTTGCTGCTCTAAAATGTTCTCATCATTGTTAAGAATCTATGAACATTTGAAGGATGAATCATAAGTTTTAATGTGGCACTGTGAAGGATTAGGAAAGGCGGATAAGTTAGAGTTAAATTTTAGGTAATAAATTTCTTCGAGGGGACTAGTTTGATCGTAAGGCTTAGTTTTATTAGGAATACCTAAAAAATTTTATTTTTGCTGGATATTATTAGGGTTTTTTTTTGGTCAAGGATATTATTAGGGTTAAAATGTAATTTTAACCCTAATCTTATTTTTCCAGTGTAATTGCCCCTGATCTTTTTAGTGGTGTAATTTTGACCCTGATTCTTTTTGGGGTGCAATTTTGTCCCTAAAGGTCAAAATTGCACCCAAAGATCAAAAGCAAAATTGCATCTGAGAAGAAAAAAAACAAGGACAAAATTGCACTTAAGAAATAAGATCAAGGGCAGAATTACACCACTAAAAAATTAGGGGTAAAATTGCACTGGAGAAATAAAATCAAGGTTAAAATTACACCTTAACTCAATAATTTATATAAGAGAAAATTTGTTGATTTTCCAAGTCTTTTTCTCAAATAATTTGTTGATTATATTTTTAAAATTTGAAGGAAAAAATTGACTAGTAGTTGCAAGTTGCAACGGCCGTCATATTTGGATGCTAGATTTTTTTTCTTTTTAAATGACCAAATTTGGATATAGATTTAAGCTCGGCGTTATATGTTTGTGTGAGGGTGTTTAATTTGCATTCAATAAAAAAATATGAAAGAAAACTAATTTTTTTTTTAATGTTTTTTTACCAAAACTTTTTTATGATTTGAAGTTTTGAGCCATGAGAAAAGTAGAAATAAAATAAAAAAGAAAATAGCGAGGGGACGTAATGTCTACTGTTTTCCAGCCCCTCCCCCCCGGGGGGCATCACAGTCTATCAATGAAAAAAATTGAACCGAACTGGGTGGTCCTTTGTTTTCCTTGTATGTTGTTATTAATAATTTTTGATGTTGTTATATTTTATTATTTTTAATTAAATTATATTATTTTAATATGATCGATTTGATCTCGAGTTAACTCCTATCCGATTAATTGACCCTTGAACCACCATCTTAATCGATTTGATGTCCAGCCTGGTTTTTTGTTTCTTGTTATGTATCCTCTCGTCTTCTTTTGCCACTATTTAGGGCATATTTGGGATAGTATTTAAAAGCACTTATAAACACATTTTACATAAATTAAGATAAAATTTTTTTATATATTTATTTTATATTTTGTAAATCACGATTGAAAAGTTACTTATAAACTATTTTAAACATGGCTTAATCTGTCTTGTTTGGGGTGACCATAAAATGTTAGTTGAGTGGCGTCTAACGACTTTTTTAATGTATTAATAACAATTCAAATTAAACGAACAATGAATTATTCAAGTTCAAGAATTTCAAGGATTCCGATTTTTAGATAAAAAATTGAAATATAAATTACTACCAAATTATTTAATTTCAAATAATAAATTAAAAATATATTTTTCTAAATAATTTTATTTTTAAAATGTTTTGATGTATTAATGTGATTTTTACTTTCAATTTATTTTTATAAGGGTAGTAAAATAAGGCCTAAGAGTTTAATAGGGGATATTAATCTCATTATGAAAATTGCATACTTTCTACTAACATGTTATTAGTTGAGATGGTAAGTGGTCTTACCTCCATAAGAAAAAGAATACAAATTTAAATTTCAAAAAGTATATTTGTTAGAAAGACTTTAATCTTAACACTCTCGGTCCAGTAAAAAGTATTCATATACAAAATCAAAATAGCTGGTTGCAACCTGCAAGTCCAAAAGCCTAGCTTAACCTGCCTTTGTTTTCATCTTCTTTGATTAAATGTAAAGGTAACTTAACTAATTTAGATAAATTAAAAAAATTATGTAAATTAATTATTACTCCTCCGGTCCTTAATATAAGATCCATTTAACTAATTTGATTAGATTAAGGAAGTTAGGTAAGTTAGTTAATTATAAGAAATGTGACACATTTTTCCTAAAATACCATAATCATCTTTCTTAATACCCTTTCTTCTTCTATTTGATTATGGTTGAGGGAGTATCCATAAGGGTAATTTAGAGAAAATTGATAAATATGATAAATGGGTCTTATATTTAAGACCAAAACCAACTCAACAATTGGGTCCTATATTAAGGACCGGAGGAGTATAATAAATGTGACTTGATTTTCTTACTGTACTCTTATGTAAACTTTTAAGCTATTGTCGAGGGAGGTTTTTTTCTTTTTTCCCTCGCCAAGTATTGTTGAGTGAATATCAATTAAGGTACAGGTACAACATTTAACTATAGAAGGCAATTTTTGTGCAGATGCCTTAGCGAACTTAAGTTTACGGATTGATGATGATAGTTGCTTCTTTGAAAATCTACCACGGAGTATGAGAAGCCTTTTGTACAGTGATTGGGCGGGAACTTCATACCCACGAGTTGTAAAGATTAAAAAAAATATATCAATTAAGGTATTTAAAAAAATTAATAAAATGAAAGACAAAAAAAAATTGAAGTATTATATTAACAACCAAAACTAGTCCTTATAGTAGGTTTCTCTTCAATTAAGATGATAGGAATTAATATAATTTTTGATCTCTCAAATTTGCTCTCATTTTGGTTTCGGTCCCTCAAATTTCAAATCATAGGTTTTGGTCTCTTTAGGAGCAAAATGGTCTAAATTTTTATTGGATTATAGAGACTAATATTTTAAATGAAAAGAAACTTGAGCAACTAAAACCTATTGTTTAAAACTTGAGGAACTAAAACTAAAATAAAGGCAAATTTGAAGGATCAAAGTTTGTATTAACCTAATTATTAATTATCAAAAGAAAATGTGTTCAATCTTATTGTACTCATTTGGTTCTCAATATAAGACATATTTAACTAATTTGATTAAATTAAGTAAATTTGATAAGTTACTTAATTATAATAAATATGACACATGTTTCATAAAATACTATAATTATCTTTTTTAATACCATCACCTCTCTTTTACTTGATTATTATTGATGAAGTATTGCTAAGTGTAATTTGAGAAAATTGATAAATGTGAAAAATAGATTTACATTTAAGATCAAGATTAACATTACAATTAGGTTCTATATTAATGATAGAAGAAGTATTACATTTTATTTTAGCACTAACAAAAGGTTAATATAATTTTTGGTTCATAAAATTTGAGCCTACTTTACTTGTGTTCCCTTAAATTTAAAACCCATGATTTTAATCTCTTAAATTTAATCCTTCTTAAAATGTTAGTCCTTAAAGGTGTAATAGTGTTAAAATGTGCTGAAGTATCATAAACAGTATTAAAATGGTTATATGGACTCACTAGATGATATTTAATTGGATCTTGTGTGAATAACATAGAAAAAGAAAAACTAAATACTTAAAATGCTCATTTTTTTCTTCGTTGTTCATTAGAGAAGTTGTTCACTTTGTTGCGTTTTGAGAACTTATCCTTCTTCCTCTGCATCATCATTTTAACACCATTTACAACACTTCAACATATTTTAATACTCCTCTGATCCTTAATATAAAACCTATTTAACTAATTTAATTAGATTATGGAAGCTAGGTAAGTTAGTTAATTATAAAAAATATGGTATGTTTTTCCTAAAACACCGTAATCATCTTTCTTAATATTATCCTTCCCTCTTCTACTTGATAATGGTTGAGGGAGTATCCATAGGAATAATTTAGAAAAAAATTAATAAATATGTCTTATATTTAAGACCAAAATTAACTTAACAATTAGGTCCTATATTAAGAATTGGATGATTTTTTTTTTATGTATAGGTATCTTTCTATTGGAAGCAATCCTATTTGAGACGCTGTCAAATACTAAATGTGGACACCTCTCCTAATGGAGGGATTTGAATCTTGGCTCATTACATTATAAGGGATTGATCCCAATCCCCATTGGTTGGAGAGAGAGGTGTTATACCTTCATGGATTAACATCTTAAAGAGGACTAAATTCTAGGAACTAAAATCATGAGCTTCGAATTTGAGGTACCAAAATCAAAATGGGTTCAAATTTTAATGACAAAAAATTTATATTAACTCAAAAAAGGTAAAATAATACCTCTAATCTTTAATAGAGAAAAGCTAGTAGGGGATTAGATTTGGTTCTAAATATAAATCATCACTTCGTTTTTCATCTTTTTTCAAAATATATCTATTGATTATAAAGAGTTCCCGCTAATAAATAATTCCAATCATTTAATGCATATGATTAAAGAATATATTTTAGAGATTCTCACACATATATAATAAATAATTAATTTAATTAATTTTTTAAACATCTCCAAACTACAATCAAAATGCCAGCCAGTCACGAGACATGACACGACGAACCAATAGCCCAATGCAAAGATATGACTATTTAATAATTAAAATCTCAACTTCTGTTACATTACGTAATTTTCCTTTTATTTTCAAATAATAAATTATATAAGTCTAAAGTCTCCTTGAATTTTACTGAAAACACATCAACATCTTTTCATTTTTCGTGATAGACTTGTTTCACCTCCTATTTTTAATACAAGAGTTAAATAACTGATTTAAAAATATTAAAAAAAATTAGTTAAATTGATTAATTGTAATAAATGTGTTTTTATTTTCCAAAGCTATCTTCGACAATCATGCATATTAGAACTATTTCTTCATAAGAACTGATTGTAAAGATATTTTAAATAAACGTCATTGATTTGAGAGACAACATTGATTAAAATCTTATGTTTATAATCAAACCCAAGTGTCAATTAATTATATTAAGAATAGAAGGTAATAGAATTTTAATAAAATTAATAGAAAAAAGAAGTTTGTGTAAATTAAACTTTGTTTCGACAGAAGTATGTATAAAGCTTATAAGGCTATATCATTTTAGCTGAAAATATATAATTCATCTTTATTTTAAAAATGAAGGAAAGATTTGTATAAATTTCGCAAATAAAAGCAAAGTTTATTGGGTTAAAATGCAATTTTAATCCTAATCTTATTTTTCCAGTGTAATTTTGCCCCTAATCTTTTTAGTGGTACAATTTTGACCCTGATTTCTTTTTTTGGGTGCAATTTTGTCCCAAGTGGTCAAAATTGCACCCAAATATCAGAGGCAAAATTGCATCCAAGAAAAAAAAATCAATGACAAAATTGCACTTAAGAAATAAGATCAGAGACAAAATTATACTACTAAAAGATTAGGGGTAAAATTACACCTCAAAAATAAAATCAAAGTTAAAATTATACTCAACCCATATTATTATTAGACGCAATGTAAGTCATGAATCGATGATGATATCCTAAATATTCTGAATGTTTTTCCTTTTAGTTTCAATGCAGCAGAGTGTAAGCATCCTAGACGTAATTTTTCACACACTTCAAACTTCGAATCTACGGGAAGGCCGATCAAAATAAACTTGGGTTAAGGTATAATTTTAATCTTGATTTTATTTCTCAAGTGGAATTTTACCTTAATCTTTTAGTAGTGTAATTTTGCCCCTGATTTTTTCTCGGATGCAATTTTACCTCTGATCTTTGGGTGCAATTTTGATTCTTAGGGACAAAATTGTACCCAAAAAAGAAATCAGGGTCAAAATTGCACCACTAAAAAGATAGGGGCAAAATTACACCGGATTGTTTGTCTTATTCCACAATCTCAATAAGTCAATATTTTTGTCATTTAATTGTCAGGTCAGATTATTTTTTTCGCCCCCAATTTTTCCTTACTCTCCACAAATTTTTTTTGGGGGGGGGGGGGAATCCCCAACTCCCTGTCACTAAATAACCCTACCTGCTGTTACGTCACTCCCTTCCCATTCACCCCTCTGCTCGCTCATCGCCTCTCTGCTTATCGTTGCCGTTACTATTGCCGTGAAGTAAACCTCTGCCCGGCGATGCACTTACTCTTGCTCATCACCTCCAGTTGTGTCACTCCCCTTCGCTCTTGCCCATTGTCTCTTTTCTTGTCTTTTTCTCTGTTACCACAATATTGGTATATAAGCAGCAACATTTTTCACTCTTAAAATAAAGTTGCACCATTTATGCTAGTTTGATATCAAAATGTCACTTAGTATATGTAGAATCAAATGCTTAAGAGAGAAAAAAATTAAGAAGGCTATGGCTGTACAAGAGGCATTAGAGATCATTGCTCCCATCCAATTCACCTCCTTTCACATGGCTACAAGCTAAGTTACCTCACATGGCTAATTTCGAAGGTAGTTTTGGGCCATCATTTGATGTGGAATTATAAAAGAATTAGGAGATGCGTCATCTTCTTCATTCTTAACTAGCTAGCAGTCTCTCTCAGCCATCCTCTTAACTCCAAAAATTATTGGTCGAAATAATCATTATGCTCCTGCTTCGATTATTACACCTGCTCAACAAAATGTTGATGAATTTTGGTCTGCCATTGGCTCTAATAAGATTAGGGCAAAATTAGATCAGCCCCCCAAAGCTGAATTTTGCAAGCCACCAAGTGGGAATTGCATATATACAAGTGAACTATCATGGTTCATTTGAACCTAATTCTAGAGGGTGGGTAAAATCTGTAGGGACCATCTGGGACGAATTATATGGGGATTTAGAGAAAAAGTGGAGGCATATGTTTTTATTACTCAAACCTTCTATAATTCTCTGCGGAGTCCATATGTGATTTTGATTCTACAATTTGAAGTAGAAGAGTCATAATAATATGATGAACAGGAAAGGAATGAATAAAATTGTGTGTGGACACTACTCTTCCCCTGTTAAAAATTCTTCAAAACAAATGATGGGTTGTACTTAATAATGAAATCTAAGGCAAGGGCAGGAGTTCCTAGCCCCGATGGCTATAATTATCACATAATAGTAGCAACAATTTTATAAGTAATTCAAATTCAAAGTACATACACAATAGTCATGATACAACTTTATGAGGCTTGCCAATACATGCTCGAAGAATCAATAGAGTCATATCGTGCATTTTCGATTCCCTTCCTTGGATGAAATTATATCTGACGATTGAGCTTATTCTTTGCCCTTTTCACAGGCCCAAACACAAAACACAAGGTGAAGAACAAAGCGACAAACGAGAGAAACCCAATCCAACAGTAAAGAGATGCTCTAAACAGTTTGTTCGCTGATTTAAAAAGTTCACCATCTGGAGTCACCAGGTAGAGTCCTTGAAGATAAGTAAGCGATAAGAACGTGAGAGTAATGCACATGGCAATAGATAACACCCATACCACAACTCTATGCTTCAAAGGAACCCCACTAACAACTAAGAGGATGACACATAGAGATCCAATAAAACAGATGGTATTGTACTTCAGGTAAGGATGAAATAAATCTGAGTATGTAACAGCTGATATTGCGTCGCCAGGGCATATACTTTCCCCCTCATCGTTGTCTATGCATTTGAAGGGATCCTCTTTCAATATACTCTGTTGAACAAAGCCACCAGGAGGGTTAATTAACGCTTGAAAGGTTATAGTTGAGATCACTGTGGCCACTAGACTCAAATTTCCTCTCATCTCGTCCAACCAATTAGGGTTGTTATGATTTAACATACGTGTCATAAAACCTAAAATGTTTCTCCAACCCTTGGGCTGAGTAGTTTTTTGTGTCGCGGGCTGAGGAAGACCTTCCACAACATGGCTCTCTTCAATACCTCTGATTTCGGTGGTTGGTGATGATATTGGATGATCCGTTGCTTTCAACATATCTCGTATTTCATATATCTCCAATTCTTTCGGAACATGCTCCAGTATATCATAGGCTGTTAAACCCAACTTGTTCTTCAACCCGACTACTTGCCTTATTTCAGATACTGAGAGGAGGTAACTTGTCGTCTAACGGTTTAAATAGTATGAACATGTTAGTTAACATACACACACACATATGTACATATTGTGCTAAGTGGAGCAAAATGATAAAAGGAAACAATCTTTCAATTATTGATGACAAAATAAACAATATATTTTGCTTGAACAAACTTCTGCTAATAAGAAATTAAGAAATAGTACATCAAATCATACTAAAAGGACAAAAAAATAATATATAATTTAATAGGTTTATTATTATACTTGCATTCAATTATTTACAAAAAAATAAAATGATACTTTTAAAATTTATGAATTATTAAATAAGTTAATTAGTAATTTAATTTACTACTTATTTAAATAGTGAAAGAAAGGGTAACTTGTGGCGAATATGATAGTCTATATATACTGCGCTAAGTGAAGCCAAATGATGATGGAGCGATTTTGTAATTTCCAAATAATTTGTTCTATCAACTTAATAAAACGAATCAAAATTAACATTATATTTTGCATGAATGCTAACAAGAAACTAAAATAATAGTAGTCAAAACTTACATACTAAAAAGACCACGAAAAACCAAAATAATGCATAATTTAGTAGATCTATTATTATAATTGCATTCAATTATTTGAAAAAAATAAATTAATTCTTTTGAAAGCTATGAATTATTAAATAATTTAAAAGCTGATCAAAATTAAAAATAGTGTTCACAAATCATCGATCGGTCATTATGTTAATTTTTAGAACAACAATTTTTTTATGCGGTATTTTTGAAAATAGCCAATACTTATGTCAAGTTTCTTAGGTTTATTATGTCATATTCTCAAATCAAACATAATCATGTGTCCTATTTTCAAAATATTGACATTTAATAGTATTTAATTATAAATCCACATGAAACAAAAAAAAAGATATATAACAATATGTAATTGAAAAACTTGACATGATGGATATAAGAAATTTGACCCAAGTATTTTCTTTTAAAACTAACACACATAATTAAAACACTATAGGAAAAATAGATCCGTACATTCTTATAGTTTTATCTTTTTTAAATCCTATCTTTGTAATTATTTTCTCTTTATTGGATTCTCAAAGATTTCTCAATTATAGGCATTGGTCCCTATGATCAAAATTTGTTAATTACGGCTGATGTAGGTGTTGATTGAGTGACATTCAAGTTGCCAAAAAAAATAATGGAAAAACAAAAAGAGATTTTTTCTGAACAATGAAACAATAGAATAAAATGTAATTATTATCACCATATGACAAAACTAATCTAGGTGTATATTGAGGAAGAGCCACATGATTAGCTACTCACACCATTTTTTAAAATATTAACTAATTATGAGCGTATAGAAAAATGACTATGATTGAAAAAAAAAAACTGCAAGTATCCAATAAAAAAAAAAAAGCACGATTACTTAATTAAAAATAAGGTAAAACTATAAGAACCTATGGATTATTTTTTCCGGAGTCATATTATCACCTTTGAATAAATAGATAGAAAAGAAAGAAATTAGAGTATACCTCAACTTGCTTTAACATGACAGCTAAATGAAGAATGGTGTTGAGGGTGCCATCGACACTAGTAAAGTTGAGATGCCGATCATCAGTAATGTCAAGCTCTGCTTCTATTAAGGCCTTCAAAGTTTCAAGATTGTTGTACTTAACACATACGTGAAAAATAGTCTCCCCTTTGACACGAACACTTAGAGACTCTGACTTGGCTCTGATCAATTCTCTCACAACCTCTAATCTCCCCCTCATAACTGCATAGTACAACGGTATTCTTCCTTTTTCATCACGAAACAAGCATGGATCTTTGTTTATTTTGAGAAGTTCCTTCACAATGTCGATGTGGCCCTCAGCAGAAGCCACATGGAGGGCTGTCCTATTGGAGTAGTCCAACTGAGTGACTAGGGTGGGCTTGAGACTGAGGAGTTCCTTGGTGAAGTCAAGATGACCACAAGAAGATGATATGTGTAATGGAGTTTCATGGAGGTCTGTGAGTGAAATTCTGTTTAGGATTTGTGAGTCTTGTTTAATCACAGAACGCAAAGTCAACAAATCTCCATTTGTTGATGCTTTAAAAAGAATGCTCATCATTTGGTCACGACTTATTCCTTGTTGATCAGAAGCTCTCATTTTTATCTCCCTCGAAATCAGGTGTTCTAGCTTCGTTGATGCTATGGAGGAAGGGGGAGAGAGAGTATTAGAGTTGTGTAAAGAGGCGAACCGAAAAGCTCACATGCCTGCCTGGTCACTGAGCTACACGCACACGCATATATACACACCCTTTTGTCTTTTTTTCAAATACGCGCGCGCACATGCCCCAGCGAACACACAAATTTAGGAGTTTGTTTGGTTTTGGGCACGACGGACTCCTTTGATGAATTAATGGGCTAAGCCCAATATCCATTTTCTATTTGATATTAATTATTGGATGATGATAATAACAGTAAAATAATTAATTAATAAATAAATTTATTTAAATAATTTTCTTAAAAAACACAATTTTATTTAGTATTAACAAGTCTGAATTTACAAATAACAACAAATTTTTGTTGACATTTCTTATTTAGTATTTATAAAATTTCAACTTTTTGTGTCTTGTCATTATCCCCCACAAAACTAAGAGTTTGTACTTAAATGCATGTTGTTGAAATAGACGGGAAGTTCCTGTAACCAAGGTTAAATGCAAGGGAGGTAGAATATATTTCACTCTAATATTATTAATAACATTAATAATTGAAAGGAACGAAGCAGTCACAATTATAATACAAATTTGAGCTAAACTCGTGAATCTGATGGTGAAGACAGAGTTCTATAATGGAATAAGAGGTAATACAAAAATTTGAAACTAGCATAATTAAGAGAAAGAGATGGTAAAAGAAAGAGATAACTAACCTGATGGTTTAGCTAATGTTGAGGAAATTCAGGAGGATACATCTCAACTTCACTTGTGAATTTGTCGACCAAGTACTTTACGCCTTATGCATCACGCTCTCTCACACACACACATATATAGGAGTAAAGTCAACTTCAAGTCTTCGCTAGTTAATTATGGTAGTCCTTCTTCATGCAAAATCCACCCAATCTCATCACATGCCAGATTTTTCTTTGCTTGGTGGCTACCCAAAGTCCATCTTCTCAGCGACAATGACATCATTAGTGACATCCAACTCTAACTCGGTTCTTAACTAGCTCCGGTTTGCGGTCGAACTCCGGCTTTCGACTGAAAAGCTAGTTAAAACCGGCTCACTCTGGTCAAACTCATAAAATGGTTCAGACGGAAAAAATGAGCCTGTAAGTTCTCCGGCCGACGGTCTGGCCGTTCTGATCGATCATCCAGTCCGATTCGAGTTTTAAAACATATTGAAGATGAATAGGAAGAAGGAAGAAAACTGAAGGCTGAAAACAAAAGAAGCAATGAATAAGAAAGACAGAAAGGAATTGAAAAAATTAATAGAGGAGGATGATGCCAGGGAGATCCACATCGGAAGCAATCTATTTACTAAGAAGGTTATTGGAAAGATATAGAAGTAAAAGAAGGGATTTACATATGGTTTTTATTGACTTGGAAAAGGCTTATGATCGTGTGCTAAGAGGAGTAATATGGAAGGCTTTAGAAAAGAAAGGTGTACGGGTTGCTTATATCAAAGCTATACAAGATATGTATGAGGGGGTAACTACCAGTGTAAGGACGCCTGGAAGTGAGACAAAGGACTTCCCTATTCAGATCGGCCTACATCAAGGATCATCTTTGAGTCCGTACTTGTTCAACATTGTTCTGGATGTTTTAACTGAACCTATTCAAGAAAGAATCCCTAAGTCCATGCTTTTCGCCGATGATATAGTTCTCATGGCGGAATCAAAAGAAGAGATTAACACTAGATTGGAGTTATGGAGAAGGACTTTAGAGTCAAAAGGTTTCCGTTTAAGCAGGAACAAAACAGAATATATGCATTGTGATTTTGGGGGGAGGCAAGGCAATGGGGATTTGGAGGTGAAAATAGGGGAGCAAATCATTCCTCAAATATCAAAGTTTAAATACCTAGGATCCATTATACAGGAGGATAGGGAAATTGATAGAGACGTTTCTCATAAAATACAAACTGGCTTGTTAAAGTGGAGGAAAGCTACTGGAGTTATTTGCAATAAGAAGGTACCTGAGAAATTTAAAGGAAAATTTTATCGGACTGCGATAAGACCAGCTATGTTGTACGGTAGTGAATGTTGGGCAATAAAATGAAAACAAGAGCACAAAGTCGGGGTAGCAGAAATGAGGATGTTGAGATGGATGTGTGGTCATACAAGAAAAGATAGGATTCGAAATGAAAATATCAGAGCAAGAGTAGGTGTGGCACCTATCCAAGAGAAAATAGTTGAAAATCGCTTAAGATAGTTTGGACATGTGCAGAGAAGGCCATTGGAGGCCCCGGTGAGGAGGGTGGATCAGACAAGATGGAGTCCCATAAAAAGGAATAGAGGAAGACCAAGAAGAACATTTAATGAGGTCATTGAACGAGACCTCCTAGTCAATAACATATCTAAGACTGGGTTGTTGACAAAGTACAATGGCGTCGTGTGATTCATGTAGCCGACCTCACCTAGTGGGATAAGGCTTGTTGTTGTTGTTGTAATAGAGGAGGAAGATGGAAACCTGAACATCAAGAGAGGAACGAAAGAACCAGATTACGCAGTGGTAACCTTATGAATACCGAAAAGAAGATCCGAACTGCTGAACACTAAAATGAGTGGTTTGAAATGCGTGAAATGGAGCGGATGAAAGCAATTATTACAATCGGGGACTATATGGAGAATCTTGTACCTTGCATCAGAAAGGATGCGACAAAGCAGAAGCAATACACATCTTTAATTTCTCAACTGGTTTTTAGGATAGATCATGGTACCGAACGAAATATTGAAGCTAACTCTGTGCATTTTTCTGTTTATAACTTTTATAATAATTATTTGGCAAAAAAATTTTTTATAATAATTATTGACGGCTTATTATTTATCTTCTCTGGATGTTTAAATTATAATTATAAATTAATTCATTAAAAAATTTAAAGTATTCTAAAAAGGAAAACAGATGTTATCATTATAACAAAATAATAATAATAAAAAAGCTATCAAAATTTACTAAATTTTTAGTATATTTTTATTATTATGCTTTTAACTATTAATTTATATAGTAGTATTATTATTTTTAATTAGACTTATTGTGTATATATTTGTTATACATTATATATGTGTATGTGTGTATATATTAATTTTTTATTAAATTTTAATTTAATTATTATGTCACCGGTTGGACTAGCGGTGCAAACAATTGGACCATGAGAACCATAATTCGCTGACTTTTTCGGCTTAATACCGGTCCCACTTTTAGAACATTGGTTGCAACTTTTAATTACATGCATTTATTTTATATCTGCAAGTATATATGTACGCATGAATATTATTACTACTGGCTATCAAGAGGACACCATCCAACATGACTAGCTATTCCTACTGACTTCGAATTGAAGATAATTAAATCTACATCGATGCTTTGCCTCCCCTTGCTATATAAATGTGTGTATACATATATTTATAAGTCCTAATAAAAATTTCTTCATATAATTAATACTCCCTCCGTTCCTTATTATAAGAGACATTTGATGCTTATAGCATGTTTCTAAATATAAGAGACACTTAAAAGTTGTCTTTACTTTTTTGTGTTGATTTCCTATTTTACCCATATTTATTGTCTCCAACTCACACTCTCTCTCCTTTCCACTTCTCTTTCTTTTAAGAATTTACTATTGTTCTCTCTCATACTCTCTCTCCTTATTAATGAGGGCATTTTTGGAAAAAAAATTATACTTTTTACATATTAATTGTTCTTAACTAATTTTAACTATTTTTTTGATCAACGTAATTCGGTTATTCGTCTCTTATAATAAGGAACGGAGGGAGTACTTGTTTTACAATTTCTTGCTACAATTAATACCCCTTGTAGGAAATTAAAATTTCTAGATATAATTAATACTTGCGGCATTAAAGAGAGGGTGAAAATAAAGCTTAATAGATTTGTGGGGTTTTTCAAAATTAGGACTTACAAACATGTTTATTAAAGAGAGTATAACATTTTAGAATATTGTATAGCTTCTTTTTTTTTTTTATACAATAATTGTCACATTGGAAATGCACCCACATGGATTAATAAATTTAATAAATTTCCTAATTTTTTTTCAAAATATAGTTTACCAACATGCCTTATTATTTTATTTTTTAATAAAAAAATACTCTTCGAGTCCTGCTCTGTATTTATTATTGTGTAGACTCTGTTCTTATGGGATATTATGTGTACTAGATAGAGATAAAGTTAAAAAGCTGTTAAAGTTTAAGATATACTCCTCTGATCCTATTTATAAGTCACTTCTAATATGTTTCATACAGATAAAAAAATCTTAACTTTTACTAACTCTCATTTAAAATTCAACACAATAATAAATAAATGGTAAAATTGTACATCCATGTAATAAATTTCTCTCAATATTCTATAAATAGAACTAAAAAATGTCTTCTCTTTCTACCTTATAAAAAGGACCAAGGGAATAGTTAATAAAATTTAAAATTTTTCTTAGCTTAGTGAAACATATTAAAAGTGACTTAAGAATAAGATGTCAAGAGAGTGCCTTCCTATTATAATGTCTTAAAAATGTTTTGTTTTGTGTGCCAGATATATTGCCTTAAAAACGTTTCAATGGATGAATTAACAAAGAGTACTTACTAATATTTCTTGAAAACCTAGAGTAGTAAAATTAAAATTCTTGTGAAACAAAGCCAAATAGCAGCTATTATGATTTTTGAGATAATGTGCTAAAATATCCCAGAAATGTATACCAAAGAGCACCTAGCACCAAAATAAATTTTTTCTCTAAAATATTCTGGAAGTGTAAGTTCGTAACAAAGGTTAACTTTAACCATTAAATTTTTCTTTTTGACCAACTTATACTGACATGGCTGCTGAGTTGGGAAAAAAAAATTGGCGCACGTGGTTACTTCCCTCATTCTCTCTCTCCTTCCCAGAACGTCTTCAGTTTGCTCTTCGTCCACAACATCCGGACCCCGCAAACTCTCAGACTCGTCACCCA